TATATATATATATATATACATATACACATTCACAGGCAAAAAAAACAGGCCACTAAATTTTAGCCCATTTTTAAAATTTAACTCATTTTTAATATTTTCAAATAGTAACAATAAAAAATCATCGTTTAAAAAAGATTTTAAAATTTGAAATCTCTACTTTTCAGACCAATACTTTAAAAAACGATCGTATTGATATTATGTAAAGTTACACAAACATGAAAATGATGATTTTTTTTATTGCTATTGAGTTATTGCTATTTGAAAATATTAAAAATTTGTGGCCTCTTTTTTGCCTATGAATGTATATATACAGTGTACACACACACACACACACACACACACACACACACACACACACACACACACACGAAAAATAAAGTAAATTTTAAATAATTAGGCACCTGCCTTTATATGAATCTATCAATTTCGTAAAATTTATTAGAATTCTATATATTTCTTTCTGTGTGGCTTCGGACTCATTATCTCTTAATTGAAGGATATTAAATGGTATCTCTGTACTTAATTTAATATTCATTCTCGTGTTTATTTGTATTTCCAAGAATTTTGTCTTTTAAAAATCGATCGATTAAAACTCGGTTCCATCAAATCAATGTTAATTAATTTACTCTTCATCTTTTTCTAGTTCTAAGAATTATAAAAAGATGAAAAGTGTGTAAGTTGAATTGAGATTAAAATTAATCTTACGTGTTGTTAAAACTAGCTCTAATTACTTTGTTATATTTAAAAAAAGACTTGAAACAATTCGCTAACCATATTGAATGAAAGTTCTTCTTTTAAACATCCTCACGCTATTTTCTTCGTTTGGCTTCCAAATTTTCATGTCTCGAAGCTACGCTTTGGTGATCAGCAACTTTTGCCGCGGAGATACGTGAGATCGTGCTGTGAGTGTTTCTGTCTATCGGTAGAAATGACGATAATTACGATTGGAGCGATCCTGCTAGCCATTATCTATCATGCGGTACATACGATGTAGTTCTCGCAAAAGGTTACAACACGCCACCATGGCTCGTATTGTAACCTTTGCGAGGTGTTCTGTCGCAATCCCTTTACAATACGCGCCGCGTTTGCCGCCGCGAACTACGAGCGCTTAGCTTTAGCGCTTTATTACAATCCGAATTAATAGTGTGCGCGGTGATTTTTAATAATCCCGTTGATTTATTAAACGCACGCCTCGATGTGTTACGACTGAGCTCGATGCAGCGCCCAGTTAACTTTTTTTCCCTCTTAATTCTTTTTTACCTTCTTCTCTCATCCATTCATGGACCTTCACTGACGCAAATAATGAAGATCGGCTTACGCGAGAGGAGTAAATTTCACGCCTATTCGCGCTTTATCACTTTATCACTTGCACTTTTCGAAAGAAAAACGTCCAATCATCATTTGTATAATCCCAGGTTAATCACTTTAATAAAAAATACAAATTATTAAATGATTTTTACGTATACTTTAACATTTTTAAAAGGTATTTAAAAAATATATTTTAAAAAATAGTATATATAAAATGTTATAACTTGATACGCCTAAGTTCTTCAAAGAAAAAATTGTACCAGAACATAAATAACCCAATCGAGTGTATTAAGGAAGTAATATTTTAAAACGTCTCATTAAAAAGGACGATGCGATCAACTTTTGTCAATTTTTTAAAACTATATCTACGAATTGAGAAAAATGAAAAAACAGCATCAAGGCGCTCGGCGATGAATGAGCATGCGAAAGATCATGATTTTGCCAATCCTAATACGGGAATAGAAAGGAACAGAAAGGATCCTCCATTCCTCCCGCACGCGGTCGCGTTTGTGAGCTGATCTTAACGCGATCGGCGTTTATTGAGAAGCAGCCGAGCCGCGATATACAGGATAGAAGAAGAGCGTAGCGGTGATGCTTAGCGAAAAGAGGAAGGTGGAGGGTCCACCTTCTCTTCAGGGTGCTCTTACCGTGCGTAAATATAGGGCATACCATGTAGCGAGTGCATCGCGGAGGGTGACCCTGATGACCCAAGTGGTACCCGAAGGCAGCTAACCTCGATGAAGAGGACGAGCGCGCGAAAGGAGCGCGAAAGGAGCGAGAAGGGAGTGAAGGGAGGTGGATGCGAGGGAGGAACGAATCGTCGAGCCGGTCCAAATGAAGAAAAAAGGCGGGCTCGCTAAAGAGAAAGAGAAGAAGGACGGGAAGACGGCGAAAGAACGAGGAGAGTGAGAGGAGGAAGAAGAGGAGGAAGGAGGAAGGAGATGGTACGCTAAAGAGACGTACGTTCCCACACGAACCCCCCAAGATGCGTTCTGCCATGGTTGGGCCTCTGGACCCCCGATGCCCAGAAGCTGATAAAAACAGCTACAAAACTGCCTACCGGTGTTTTCTGCCTTTTGCTCCTGCATTACTCCTTCTTATTGCCGTCTCTCTTCGACACCTTCTTTCGCTCGGTCCACATAAGTATTCTCTCTTGCACCCGTTTAATTTAGTCTCGAGAACGACGGCCACAGATCGGATTCTTAAAATGATTATTTGATAATCACAATTGTGCGAGAGAGAGAGAGAGAGAGAGAGAGAGAGAGAGACAATTTTTTTTTAATATTTCTTCCAAGAAATATATATTTATTATTATAGCAAAAGGAGTATAATGGCTCTTCGTAAAGTAAGTACGATTTTATGTAATCGATATTAAAAATTTAATTTTATTTAAAATTTAATTTTATTAATTTTAAATAACTATTAATTATATAATCATTATTTATACAGAATACAATATCAGCGGAAACGTGAAAAGTGAAAAGTGAAAGTTTTTTGTTTACACATACATGTATAAAATATTTTCACATTTCCGCTCGAGGGAAAAAGTTACATTGAATCTCGTGAATATAAACTGGAAAATGTTTATTATATTAATATACTAAAAAAAATTTATTAAATCTAAATACACATTTCTTTGAATAGTAGTAAGTAAATACTTGTTTACAGTGAATAAATATTTACTTAATAAAAAATGATAGTTAAATCAAATTGATAATTTTTGTATCACATAAATGTATGTTTACATTTAGTAAATATTTACTTGGAACTATTTAAAAAAATATTTATTAAATTTGGTATTTTTTTACACATTAACAATAAAAGTTTTTCTGGTCATTATTTAATGAAATTAATAAAATTTACTTAAAAAATTTATCGCGCTAATACACTAGTGAACTCTTTCTGACTTATATACTCATGTCAGAATTAATAATAGCTCTACAATGTCATCAGTTAATCGCTATTTAATAAAAATTAATAAAATTAAATTTTAAAGATAAAAGAATAAATAAATTTAGAGAAGGAAAGGAAGATGATCGCTAAAATATCGATATATACATGTATCTGCAGAGTCTGTCCGCGTAAAACCTCGAGCTTGATTAATTCTGGTAGCGTATGACAATGCGTGATATTTATGTATACTGCACATTCTTTCTGAATGTCCCTAACGCTCATATTATTGCGGGATCGCAATTGCGACAGATTTATTCCCACGCTGTGGGAATCGGCAATCCATGATGGTCTCGCAGCCGGCGCGGGCAATTCCATCGTCGGATGCGATCGCGCCGCGTGAGTCACACATGTTGGCGTTGCTACACTTTCTACGATACAGTGTGGAAAGAGAATCGAGGAGTACGTGCGCGAACCAAATTGCGAAATATATCGTCGATTTATTATTATTGGGAAGGCGGGTTTATTATTGGGAAGGTATATGGCGTTTGCACGCGTGCGAGAATGAGAGATAGAGAGCAATCAGCTTGGAAAGTGACGCGTGAAATTGCAATGACGATAAGTCTCTCTCTCTCTCTCTCTCTCTCTCTCTCTCTCTCTCTCTCTTGCGTGCGCGGAGAGATACCGACGCAACGGAAGTGACTAACCCGATTTTTAGTCCACTGCGTCGTGACGCCAATACTTTTTGTAAGCGCGATGTAAATTACTTTATCTCAACTATTGGAAAATCTAACAGCTTACCTTGCTTACTGGGAGAAGCTACGTAGAAATTAAATTATCGATGCCTCAATTCTAATTAAGGAGAAATCAGATTCATCGACAAGTATCGAGCATTAAAATTGTTACAAACAGATGCTATGAAATTTAATTTATATAAGTAAGTATACTGAAAAAGAACGATGCGCTTTTGAGATTATAATTACTCAAAATATTTGAGAAGGAAAATCTATATGTAAATTATAAAGAAATATATATATGTAATACTGAAGAAAAATACATAGAACATTCCTATATTATGTATCTGTTCATATTAGTGTAAATTTAAATGATAATAAAGTATTTAAATGATATATAAATCAAATTAGCTCAAATAAATAAGAGAAGATATTTTTTTATTAAGTTAAATTATTAATAAAAATTACGATAAGATAATATTCTATTTTTTAATTAAAATATAGTAAATATTTTAATAAAAGATTACATATCGCAATTTAGAGAAATCTATGTGAGTCCAATAAATACTGCAAGATTTTAAGTTTGTCCCTATTAATATGCTCTTTATTGAAGTTGAGAATGTTGTGTTATAAAGTACATACATATATTGAAATTGTAAGTATAATTAAAATAATGATTTATACAATATTAACTTAAACAATTAGCTTACATCTATTATCTGTTTTAATAATTATCTATATGTTAAAATGAGAAGGGAGAGTAAAATGCGGATAGACGCGCAAATTGGGAAAACACATTAATAGAGCCATTGCTCCTTAAAAGAGCATATTAATAGGGATAAAAATATTTCTTTTATGTATGTGTTTATCACAAACATAAAACATTTTTTTAATTAAAAAATATTATAAGAAAAAGAGAAATATTAAATTGAAAAACTAATATTAATTTTAAACAGGCAAAATTAAAGCTACAATATTTAACAATTAATTCAGTAGTAAACAAGTTGGCTTAAAGGCACATTAATAGAGATAATTACTCGTTATATCTCATTGAAATATTAAGTAATACAATTTTTAATTTTTCTTATGTTCAAATATTAACAAAATAAAACTCTAACAGTTGCTATTGTACGTTGATTCTACAACGATTCTTATAGATCTATTCAACAAAGTTGAAAGGAACTCGTGTGATGTTACGTAAAGTTAGCGATAATTATACGACTTATCCTTCTCATCATACCGATTGTGCACGTCTAAAAAATACACGAGGAATGTTGCGACTAATACGATGCAAGACATTGATCGTCTCGAAGTGCAGCGGTGACGTTTCCTGGCACCCTTTCATACTTGAAAAATTTCAAGATGATCGTATCTTCTCCTTATTTTCCCTTCTTACATGATCTTCCGTACGAAGTATATATCGAGAGATTGTATCGCGGATCGGATCACATAGAATTGCGTCGATTTAGCAGTTCGAGCAATAAATTAAGCGTTGTACGATGTTGCACAATGTAAAAACGAGTATCTATATATTTTAGTCAAGAGAGAGTTAAATGAGCAATAATTATCTGACCTAGAATCATTACGTATATGTATTTTTCGATAAAATGATTTCCAATTTTCGTTAACTTAATTGATGTTGTTTTATTTTTAATTAATCTTCTAAATATCATCTTAAAAAAGATAGAGCCAAAAAAATAACTCATATTTACATTTAAACCGATTAATTCTATATTTCTAAAATAAATTTAATTCTGAAAATAAGAAAAGGATATTCAGTTTCATTTTGATTTAAAACAAAAATTAATTTTAAATCAAAAATTAATTATATCCAACATTGTATCTATTTGATACAATCTGGACATGTCCAGCTATTAATGGAAAACAAAAATTACGAGCGTTGATAAAAATAATCATTAATCGCAATTACGCGATGCATGGAGGATTTGTTCGAGTATTCCTTCCTTTTCTTTAACTCGGTGAAAGTATTAAATACATTCAAGCTTTGTTAATTTATTTAAATTAACATAGTCTCTCTCTCTCTCTCTCTCTCTCTCTCTCTCTCTCTCTCTCTCTTTCTCGTGTGCTTCCCAGCGATTCGACTCGCCATTGTCGGTGAACCGTCGTTACTTATCAGCATGTAATTTCATTTCACAGATTTTTATAATATTAACGTCGGAATTAATAAGAGAGAAAGACATATTGAAATCCTATTCTTTTCGTTGCAATCGAAGGATATAAAATTTGAATCAGAGATTGACACTTTTAAATTAGCAAACAAAATAATGTAAAAGAAGAATCATGATAAAATACCCAACAAAAATGCAAATTACAATCTGCGAATACAATTTTACGTAATATAGTATCTTGTTTACTGCATGTTTTGAGGCATGTCTATCTTTATACGTGTCTATCTTATGCAAAACAATTTTTGCAATATACTACATCAATTACACGTTCACCATAATATATGTGTATGTAGCACGCGCGCGGTGTCTCACAACTGGAATTATCCAATTATCTGTGATTGAAACTGTATTTTTAAGATAATTGAAGAAATCGATTTTAAATATTATTATCCAACCTGCAACACCGAGAAAAATCAATATATACAATATAGAAATAAAACACAAAAATTATTAATATCAATTTTTCAAAAGTAAAAAACAAACAATTCTAAATCTAAATGTTCGAAAAGAATGATCGTTAAAATATGACACGATAAAAATGGAAGGTTTTAATATTAATATGTCTGATGTCTACAAAACAATTTTTGCTATACAAGTTTATGAAGAAAAACCTTCGGAATTAAAGTTTTATCGTGCTACAATACCCAAAAAGTTGACACTGCGAATAAACAGATTAATCTCACAGTTGAAAAGCGAAAACTATAAATGGAAAAAAACATAAGTGGTCAAAAATTGTTTCTTCTCTTTCGAGGAACCCCAATTTATAATAATTACTGATTTATATCATATTTTTATGTACGTGATTATGTGAACCACTCGAGAGTTCTATTAATAATTTGCATATCCTTACTTTTTATCGCAAGAGAGAAAATCCGCCAATCTGTTCTTTGCTATAAAAATACTAAGTAAATGCGCCCATCGTGTCAATACGATATATGATTAATCTCTGTTCGATATAAAACCAATACACAGTATATAACAAATAGAAAATGGTGCGAGATTCGCATCATTTTCCACTTGTTTGATCAACTGTTTGTACGGTGTGGATAATTAATATTGACAGAATTAATAAGATTGTCGAAACTGCATTTTCGCAATAATGAAAGGTGAAAAACAAAATCAGTGTCACACAGATTTGCTGATTTTACATTTGTAAAACTAAATTGAGATCAAGAGAGATTATATCAGAGATCTCTTCTGATATAATTAAATATGTAAAATTGTTTTCATTGGTATATAAATTAATTTTGTTATTGCGATTTAATTAATTACTTTTTGCACTTATTTTATCATAAATTGTAAAAGTTTGTCCTTAATGTATTCGATTAATCATTATGTACATATACATATATCTAGAGTTAAAAACATAACAAAAATTTTTATTTTTTAAATATTATATGAGAAAGAAAAATATGGTATGCAGAGACATCTAGTGCTTAAATAAAATTATGTGTAAGGCTGATAATACAGTCGATAATTGCTTGTAATTTCATGATTATCGATAACTGACATCACTTTTGCCAATTTTACAGCAATTTGATAGCGCAATTACATGGATTCAAACATTTAAATTTAAAAAATAGATGATTTTAAAAATATAGAGAAAAATGTTACAATAAAAAATAAGAGACACGAGTAAAAACGCATCAATTTCAAAGATTTTATTTTATTATAAAGTTTTTTTTTTCGTTATCTACAAATTTAAAGTAAAATATTGTACCTATACAGCATATCCATTATACAAATATTTAAATACGATACATATGTCTACAGTTGGTGCAGTTTGCAAAACATTCAGAGTGTATTTTTCAGTTCTAAATATTTGAAAAGAAAGATCATAATAAATATTTGAGAACAAATGCAAAGTTTTAATATCTTCTATATTAAAGTGATGTAACATACGTACTTTCGTGATATAATTTTCTGTACATCTATTAAAAAATTAATCAGAAACAAGCAATTAAAGAAATGTATTTTCCCTTAATATTAATAAATTTAATGTAAAAATAATTTTGTATTTAATTGTTTATAATTGTTTATAATTGATTATAATTTTGTCGAATATTTATCATTTGCATTAACTTACCATTTATTAAATAATAGACAAGAAAAAACAGTAAATTTCTTTTAGTCACGACTGCAGTAATTATCGAGTCTTTTACATCTAATATATATATAGGAACAATCATCATATACAATAATTACTAAATTTAATATTAATTAAAATATTTGTATATAGAAATACCGATATATCTAGTTTTATCATGTAGGAATGTCATCATTTACGTTCCACAACAATCGTATGTAAATTGAGGAACACACTAAATATTACAAATCGTAATTACAAGTTTATTTAACGCTATAATTACTACACACTTAGTACCACTTATTCGAGCCAACACTTATGTTTTCACTTGTATAGAGCAGAATTTCTATATAATAATACGATTATAAACTGCACATAAGTATGTAGTATCTAAACATTTTCTTATGCTTAGTCAAAAGAATTTTATATGTAATATAAATCATGAGTTAAGATAAATTTATGGACGACAATCCATTTATTTTACTAAGCCCATTTTCTTAGCTTCCACTTCATAAATTAGTAACCTCCACATTTTAACTACAAACACTTCCGCTTCTTCATCCAATACCTGAAACACGAAATATACATTTTGCAGTTTTTCTATAAAATGCAAAAGCAAAAAGTATTTCGCAGTATAATTACCATCTGTACATCGTCTAGTATTCCCTGAGGAGAACTGCCCGCCATTACTTTGCTACAAATAAAATCCACTAGAGTAGGTTCTGGTTCGCCAATATATTCAATAATCTTTTTATTGATCCAAGGTCTTATCCTCTTCTCCATCAATGTCTAAGTGCAAAATATGTAAAAACAGTGAAATTGGATTTTCAATCAAAATCACAGTAATATAAAGAAAGTATATACAATAAATTAACAATAAGATAGAATTGGAAATAAACAATTTATTAATAACAGCTTTAAAATAAAAAGAAAAGCTTACTTGTTTCAAAATTTATTTTTTTTTTTATAAAATATGAAGAACACTTACGTTATCAATGAGTGCCCAATCAAGTTGATAACCAAACAATGCATTCTTGTCGGTAGGTATTTTGTCTATAAGAGATTTTATGTGTTTTCGCTTTTCTTCTTGGCTTTTTGTATTTTCTTCTTTTACTGTCTTCGTGATTTCTTCCGTTTTCTTTTTCTTCTCGTCTCCGTAATCTGAAAAAAGATATATATCTCTAAATATCTCACAGCTTTCTTTAATAAATTTTAGAGCTTTAATAATAAGATTAAAACACTTACCTAAAGGTACGAGTTTACGCTTTTTTGCGTTATTAGTAGTATCATCATCGTCATCATTATTGAATACATCTTTAACATCAATGCGACCTTTCTTCCGCGTTTGATTCGTCTGTTGTGAATTCGTATTAACAGCGGTATTAGGACTAACCGGCGTTTTACCACCTATACTATGATCGCTAGCACGATTGCCTCCACTTCCCATAGCAAATGGAACAAAGTTACCTATATGAAGGAAGAATGTAGTTGGATATGGATAAAATTATATCATATATTATAATACTTTTTAATTATTAACTGTAATGATATACAATTAGATAAAATTATTTAAATATAAATGATATTTTTAAGAGTATCGCAAAATATTTTTTGTAAATTATTAAGTCTGATCGAGGTCATATTCGTATAAAAATTGCAAGAAGGTAATTTGTACGGATATTTGTAGATAGTCAAGAGACACTTACTACCACTTGTCTTTTCTGGTTCACTAACAAGAGACATACGTGAATCTTCATCTAATGACGGTGGAATGGACTGAACAGGTGTCGCAGCCGATTGATGTCCCGGTGATGGTCGTGCTTCTTTTAGACTTTCTCGATCTATATCTACTAATCCCTCTTGAATTTCATCACCATCGCGATGATGATTCTGATGATGTCTATGATGCCGACGATGATGATGATGATGTCGTGGAGGTGTCCTAGAGGGTGCTTCCGGTTGAGAAACATCATCAAATTGCACACCATCATCACTATCACTCTCTATTGGCTCGGTTTCTATTGGCGGCATTACTTCTTTATCTTTTTTCACTTTATCATCCTCTTCGTCAATTATAGTTATTACTGGTTTAGGTTTATACTGTTCTTCTCTTTCTGCTTTCAACTAACGAAAAAAGCAAAGCACAAAAGTAAATAAAAAATTAATTCTTTTATGTATTTTGTTGTAATTAGATAATTCAAGTTTATATAACACTAAGCAGCATAACCAAGTATAACATTTTTAATTATAACGTATAGAAAGTATTAATTATACAATTATTTATAAATGTATTTGATTATTATGAAATTAATTATACAATAGAATATTATAAAATAAGCTTTTCCTTAAAAAATAGATCATCCAATTCAATTAAGAAAAATTAAAATTTAAAAAAATTGCAAAATTTTAACTCATTGGAATTTTATATTCTTTTAATTTTAATTTATAAATTTATATATAGAATGTAACTTACCCTTTCAAATTCCGCGGCAGGATCCGGATTAGAAGCATCCGCATATAACTTATCGCGTAGACGCTGAAGCTCCTGACGTTCGGCACAACGATCCCGTGAGTCAGCTTCAGCCTCCAATGCTCGTTCTTCAAGTCGGCGAGATAATTCTTTACCTTTATAATACTTGGAATCATCACGATCATCGTCATAATCCTCGAGGAATTCCTTCAGACGTTTTGCTTCCCTCTCCTTAGCTTCACGTTTTGCACGACGCTTCTCAGCTTCTTTTTCATATTCCTTCTGTTTGCGTCGTTCGCGCGTCTCCCACGCCCTCAAACGTTCCTGGTATGCCGCTTCTTTTTCCCTAGCTCGCCTTTCATTTTTCTTCCTCTCTTTTGCCTCTTCCTCCTCCTCTCTCTCGCGCATAATCTCCCTTTCGGTCTTCCTCACCTCTTCGCGTTCCCGTTCTCTTTCTCTTTCTCGCTCTCGGTCTCTCTCTTTCTCTCTATCTCGTTCGCGTTCCCGCTCTCGTTCCCTTTCACGATCTCGATCCCGCTCTCGTTCTCGTTCTCGTTCCCGTTCCCTTTCTCGATCTCTCTCACGGTCTCTGTCTCGGTCCCGGTCTCGATCGTTTCTCAATCGATCTCTATCACGTTCTTTAGATCTGAAAAATTCAAAGTTTATAAAGTAAAGAAAAAATTATGTTCAGAAACAATAAAAAAAAAGTTATCAAAAACAAAATCACTGATGAATGTCCAGGGGTGGATGGGAACATAATACAGCATGACTCGCATAAATCTGTGCAATATAGTCAAACTGCGTCAACACGCATTTGCATTTGTAGATTCCTATTTGCAAAAATATTTGATTTAATATGTAAAATACGTTTTATATATCGCTCAATGGTACATCTATCCTATGCAAACGAGATGCAAACATTACTTCACCTAGATCTGGATCGACGTTTGTCCCTTCTACTGCTGCCAGTACTATCACTACGACCTTTATGAGACGTAGGACTACTGGGATCTCCATCTTGATCGTCCTTGTTGGAGGCATCATCGTCACGCTTATCGCGTCGTTCCTTTTCCCGTTTCTCGCGCTCTTCTTTCTCAACAGCTTCCTTCTTTCGCTTCACCTGGGCCTTCTCCTCTTCCTGCTTCTATAAAACACAAAAACGCGGGCACAGGTGAGACAAAAAAGATGAAACAAGTGCGTCGGTCTGTGATAATGATGGAACCAAGAAACTAGCAATCGTATCTTTCTTAAATGCAACAAAAAATATTATTATGTCAGCAAATAAAAATCTTTGACGTTATGAAAATTCGTTAGGAAAATAAGAACGCGTAGTAATTACTGAACAAAACTACAAATTAAAAATTTGAGAATATTATAATCTGTTAAATAAATTTTGCCGAAATATAGTATATGTTAATTGGTGAAGAAATGTTTCTGTTGCATTTTCAATAATTAACAGAAAGGACATATACATACACAGAAAAAAAAGAATCAAAATTTAAATCGCATAAATAGCTACGTTACGATTCATGTATAGAACGATCACTAGTTGTATAAGCCTTAATCATCTGACATAACGAATGTAGAGATGTTCATTTCAATATGGTATACTCACTCCACTGGAGTATGCTCGATTGGCAGCATCTTACGCGAGAAATCTCGTTTACATATCAATTACCTAAGTGCAGGTACAAATATTTGGATACAGGCATAAAAGTTATCTTAGACTTTAGCTTATAATTTAAGTACCTTAATGCTATTAACAGATGCATCGCAGAGGCCACCCAATGTACTTACAACATTGCAAATGTGCCTGTAAAATCGATAGTGTCTAAATCTAAGAGCTTGAAAGGGGTCTTGAGATTATTTCTTGATCAATATTCAATAATTATTAGAAAGTAATTATACCAATCGAAGGCGCAGTCATCACGAAGAAGGGTATCCCACCAAAACATCTTTTCACATTTGCCAAGAAACTGTCTCACACTGTCTGACAACATTTGATTTCCTCTGGTAATGGTTACGCATTATGGCAGCCGATGCAGCAAACTGTTGAATATCAAATGCACAATAGTTTGCCCACCGTTATCGTCCCGTGTTATAAACGCAACGTCTTAGAAATAAATTAGTATGATTCATCTTTATTCATTGTACTACTATCCAAAAATGGGTTACTGTTTGGAAACTCGATCCTGAATTATTATTACTAATTATTGCGCGATCATTAAAAGGAAATTAAAACGTTATCTGCTCGCAATGTAAATTCTCGAATATATTTAATTTATATATATATTTTTTATTTATATTTAAATAAAATATTTTCCAAAGAACTGTAATATTTATATTAGTAAAGTATTACTCGCTACACTGTTATAAAATTTTTATAATTTTTTTATAAATTTTTTTTTCTCTAATTTTCTTATTCTTCCTAATATATATAATTATAGAAATGATACCGCTGCAATATTAATATATTTACTATTACAATCATGGAATTTGAGAAAATGTAGTTCTTTTAATATTTTATCGTTGTAATCTTACTATTTTATATAGTTATCTAATCCAGCATGACACATGGAACGTAAACCATTTCATCCATACGGTAACCCATAATTTTAAATTCTAACAAGGGTAGAATAACACAGTGCATAAAAGTAAATGCACATTGTGAGGAGAAAATAGACTGCTGAAACATGAAATGTGGTCAAAAAGGTATTTCTCAGATGGGCAGTTCACTAGCAAAAATACTACAAGAACCGAATGCTTGTGTTGGCTCATGGTTGTGGAGTTTACTCACGGTGTGAAGTTGACTTGGTCAGTCAGTGTGGTGGTACCGGAGAATGGAGGAGCGCGCACCTAGGTACTACATGTCTGATCGAGACGCTGACAGAAGCTGTTTACACAAAATAAAGACAACAACTGAACAGTCGCCATTTGGTGATGGACAAAATCAGTTTCATTGTGTGTAGCGCACAGAGAAAGAGTCTCCCGGCCCTAACAAATAATCTATCCCAAAGATGTAAAAAATGTGTCAGCGCCAAAGTATTTTTTTCTCTAAAATGATAATACGTTCCAATCCTAAGCTGTGTGCGTGAAAGCAACCTAGACAACTGCTTACCTACGTTCGATATGCGAATACTAGACTGCTAGGCGTCAACGTAATATTTATTGTTATATAACCAATAATTGTTGCTATTTTTTAATTTGATATTTAATATAAAATTAGATATGAAATTAGATATAAAATTAGATATGAAAAAGTGTACAGAGACATTATATGCTTTATTAACATGATAGTGTGTATACATAGTGATTGATAAGAAACAAAAAATTGCAATATTTTCTTTATATTTAAAGATGTTGAAGAATGATCAGAATAACCTTCAAGAAAATGGTCTTGAAAATCTCGTATTAATTTAAACTTAACTCTTTAATTCTATTAAAAGAGATATCTAATCTAATAATTAAAAAAGAATATATTAATAATTCTAAACTAGTTAGACTAATAATTCTAAAAAATAAAGACTTCAATTTGATTTAATTTTAATCAAAACCTTTCAGAAAAAATATTTTTTACATAATTTTTTTACAAAGTCAGATTTTATCTAAACATTTTTATATTTTTGAAACTAAGGAAAAATATTTAGTTCAGTTTTCAGTGACCTATTTTGTAATATCTATTTCGATTTTCTAATATAATCGACTTTTTTTAAATAAATAAATAAATACATAAACATCTATATAATGTTTTGACACAAGCAGATTGATAATTCATAACAATCTGCAATATCTGATAAATTATTTTGATTTTTATATATATTTGTAATTAATGAAAGCAATATGTGTGCATAATTAGTGAAAGCAATAATAATAAACGAGAACAAAAATAAATGGTACACAAATATATACAAAGTTATATATCAAATAAAAATTATGCTTCACTATAACAAAAACAAAATTTAGTTACATATCAGAAAAAACTCATTATTTCAGTGCATCATTTTGAAACGTTAAAACATATTTTTGGTATTAATTGCTAGCAGTTTAGCATGACATATACAGAAGTAGATAAAGTTAGTTTAGTGCCAAATAAATCGTAATAGTATCTATCTCTAAACGTCAAAAATATAATAGTCACAATGTATCACAGATGTATATTTGCGACGAATCAAAACAGAATACCAATAGAAACAAACTGATCAGCTACATGTCGCCAGCTTGTCGCGGAGAGCTATGAGTCTCCTTCTTAATGTATTACGCATTCTTTTTTTTTTTCATGTTGTTTGGTTGTTTGGATTATACTCTGACTTACCGACGAGCCTGCAGTCGTCTGCGAAAATACGAGGGATGTGCTGTCATTGACTCCCTTCAGAGCCAATGAATGAGTGAAAGGGCGGTCCCCACACACAGCATTCCTAGGCGTGTGCGTTTGCTGTGTGCGACGCACGCTGCCTGTTATTATAATTATAGCAACGAGTCACGGCTCCAATTGTTCAGAGCTAATATAGCACACACGCACTTTATCACAAAATACTTAAAAGCTACGACTTTCGAGATACTCATAATCCTCTCTTGTATACATATATCCAAATACATTCTTTTATATTTTAAGTGTACACAGAGAGAGAAAGAGAGATAGATAGATAGATAGATAGAGAGAGAGAGAGAGAGAGAGAGAGAGAAGAAAGAGAGAGAAAGAGTCTAATTACCAGCGTCTGCGATAGAATGTGTATGCGATTGGACACTTTCAATATTCATATTGCAACAAGAGCTTATCAATTTGTGTCTCCCTATTTTATCGTATAAATTACACTAACATAAGCGTAATAATTCATGTCCAATCGCAACATATATATATATATATATAAAACATAGATACTAGTGACAATTTGTCAACATTAAAAGATGAGTTTTTTTTTCGTGTATAACAAATTCATAGATTTTGTTGTAGTGTTATTTATACGTGCGCGTGTGTGTGCGTGCGCGCGTGCGTGCGTGTGTGTATCTCTCTCTCTCTCTCTCTCTCTCTCTCTCTCTCTCTCTCTCTCTCTCTCTCTCTCT